AATATCTGTTACAGCCTATAATATCTGTTACGGCCTATAATATATGTTACAGCCTATTATATATGTTACAGCCTATAATATCTGGTACAGCCTATAATATCTGTTACAGCCTATAATATCTGTTACAGCCTATAATATATGTTACAGCCTATAATATATGTTACAGCCTATAATATATGTTACAGCCTATAATATCTGTTACAGCCTATAATATCTGTTACAGCCTATAATATCTGTTACAGCCTATAATATCTGTTACAGCCTATAATATCTGTTACAGCCTCAGTAAATTTGCCAAAATTATAAATAAAAATAATTTGGTACTTAAAAAAGCAATATAATATCTGCTATAGATTTGTAATATTTGTTGAAACCATCTATAAATAAACAAAAATAAAAAAGTGGTATTTGTGAAAATTATTATTATCTGTGACAGCCGTGTAAATTGGTTAAAACTATAAATACAATTTGGTATTTATTAAATCTTTTCAGATGCAATCTTCACACTTAAACTGTTAATAGAAAAGAACATTGAATACAATAAGAACTTATTTGTGGCATTCGTAGACCAGGCGAAGGCATTTGACAGAGTCGACAGACAATTATTATGGAAAATAATGGCAAGATATGGAGTAAGCGAACACCTCAAGTGTGCACAAGTTTATACAGGGATTGTAGAAGTGTAGTTAGAATAAATCAGGGAACATCTCATCCTTTCACAGTGACATCTGGAGTAAGACAGGGGTGTGTCTTATCACCACTGCTGTTTATCACCTACATCGACAGTATTTGCAAGAATGCTAAGCCCATGAATGAAGATCTTAGTAAGATCAACGAATTACTCTTTGCAGATGACCAGGCCTTGATAGCAGATACAGCCATGAAATTGCAACAACATCTAACATCCATGAATGAAGAATGTAAAACAAATAATATGAGAATCAACACTGAAAAGACAGAAGTAATGTCAATAGGAAAAAAGAAGACAGATCTAAACATAGCAATAGAATACAAAGGCATTAAACAGGCATCTGAGTTTAAATATCTGGGAACTACATTTACCGAAGATGGGAAATTGGATAAAGAAATTGATATTAGATGCAGTAAAGCAAACCAAGTATTGGGACAGCTAGCCCCCCTCTTACAGCATAAGACAATCCCAATCAGCACAAAGAGACATCTTATTCAAAGCATATTTATTCCAACTCTGTGCTACCAGTGCCAGACATGGTGACTCACAACAAACCGTAAAAGAAAATTAGTAACCACGGAAATGAGATGTCTGAGAAGGGCTGTAGGAGTGACCATAAGAGATAAGATCAGGAAGGAGATCATAAGAGAACAAGTCGGCACAGAACCAATTCTGGATTACATACAAAGACAGCATGTGAAATGGTTTGCCCATTTAGAGAGAATGCCTTGTGACACCATACCATACAAAGCATACATGGAAAGAGAAGAAGGACGTAGAGCTCGGGGTAGACCAAGAACAATATGGAAGGATAACATCAGAGAAACTCTACAACAGCACGATGTGCCTTTGGTCGAGCCAGCCAGAAGAGCTAGAAACAGAACCTTATATCTCCCTCGACACCCACAGCGGTAAAAGAGGAAGTGAAGATGAAGAAGAAGAAGAAGTTTAAATCTTTTTTTTTCTGCCACAGCCCTATAATATTTGTTTAGACCAACTATAAATTGAAATTTTTTTTTTTTTATCTTGCATGGACCTGTAATATTTGTTGAGACCAGCTATAATTACAACCTCGTTATAACATTTATATAATATCTGTCACACCCATGCAATATTTGTTAAGAACATCTATACATTAAAAAAAAAAATATTTATACCAGTTATGTAACACTGACTCAGTCACGTAATATTTGTTTCAAATTATGTATGTGAAAAATGGCGTTAAAACAGCGAAAGAATGTCTGCTGCAGCCATGTAGTTCGTAAAAACCAACTGTCTAAAAACTTCTAGACGTGTTTGTTAAATATTAAGTACATGTTTCATGACCCGGAAATAACGAGTTTGAGTTGGTGCTAAAACCTTGACCTCTTGTATTTCTTCTGTTGGTGACCTGCAGGACAAAATATGCTCCAGGGTTGTTGTACCACAGGCGTTAGCTGCCAGGTTGCACTGTTACTCCATTGGCTCGTACAAAGTTTTGAATTCTGTGGAAGAATAATACAGTACATATACGCTAAACAGGAAGAACGTTAAAGTCAGTGCTGGATTTCTGTATAAACTAATAAGGCTACAGCTTAGGGCTTCATAATCTGCAGGGGCCTACTAGGATGTTGCTACTAAGGGAGAAGAACAGATATTATTTTTTGGACGGAGAGTTCCCTTTCCACAAAACCTTCAGGGATCTAAAATTCTGGTGTCTCTCTCTATCTCTGTTTCTCTCTCTGTCCCTGTCTCTCTCTCTCAATCTCTCACTGTCACTTTCTGTCTCTGTCTCTCTTTGTCTCTCTCTGTCTCTGTCTCTCTATGTCTCTCTCTGTCTCTTTCTCTCTGTCTCTGTCTCTCTGTCCCCCTCTCTTTGTCTCTGTCTATCTCTGTCTGTCTCTGTCTCTCTCTCTGTATCGGTCTCTCTCTGTCTATGTCTCTCTGTCTCTCTCTGTCTCAGTCTCTGTCTCTCTCCGTCTCTGTCTCTGTCTCTCTCTGTCTCGGTCTCTCTCTCTGTCTCTGTCTCTCTGTCTCTGTCTGTCTCTGTCTCTCTCTCTCTGTCTCGGTCTCTCTCTCTGTCTCTGTCTCTTTCTCTGTCTCTGTCTGTCTTTGTCTCTCTCTCTTTCTCGGTCTCTCTCTGTCTGTCTCTCTGTCTATGTCTGTCTCTCTCTCTGTCTCTCTCTGTGTCTCTCTGTCTCTCTGTCTTTCTGTCTCTGTCTCTCTGTCTCTGTCTCTCTCTCAATCCCGTCACTTTTCTACTTGAATCTTTGTGAGTCTCATCCCGTTTGTCTTTTAATCAAAATCTGTGCCAAGAACTTTTCTTCTGCTTTTTTTCAGGCTGTTTCGGAAATGTCTCTGTCTATCTCTGTCTGATAATTCCAGACAGTGTGTTTCGGAAATGTGATATTCTCTGATAATTCTAAACAGTGTCTTTCGGAAATGTGACATTGTCTGATAATTCCAAACGGTGTGTTACGGAAATGTGTTATTGTCTGATAATTCTAAACAGTGTGTTTTGGAAATGTGACATTGTCTGATAATTCTAAACAGTGTGTTTCGAAAATGTGACTTGATCTGATAATTCTAAACAGTGTTAATACAGCTTGTCTGGGTCTTGCTAGGATGATAGTTCTTTGCAAAGTCAACGACATCTGTCCCCGGTTTTGCCTCGACTGAGGTAAATAAGGAAAGCGCGCGGCGTCGTGACTAATTTGACTCGTGCCTGTTCTAAAAAATGGGTCGTGGTCGTATACCAAGTAACATTTTCCGCTTCTTTATAGGACACATACCAAGTTGAACGTATACCGAAGCGAGCGTATGCCGAGGTACCGCTGTTTTCGTCTTTGGCTCTCAGATCTCATCATCATCATGTAGCAGGTCCTTTGCAGAACGTCGCTCTCATCACAGTCTGCCTGTAAGAAACTCGGTCTCCTGCCAGTTCTCCCGCCTCATGAACTTTCACACTCAAGGAGTCACTTAAATCCTGTGCCCATCTTCGTGTCGGTCGGCCTCTGACCCCTCCTTCCTGGTACCATGCCTTCTGCTATAATTTTTCCCAATCCGTCGTGGCGCTTGATATGACCAACAGCTTTCGAGAAAGGATGCTGTTTATTAGCCAATCTTCCTTGATGTTCAGATCTTTTAAGATGTCAATATTTCTCATCTTCTTTGTCCAAGATATTCTGAGAATCTTTCTCTCAGATCTACCTAGCCTAAAATAGGTACCAGAAAAATGGCATTGGAAATAAAGGCGACCAGAATGATGTTGACCACATTACCCATCGAGTGCCGATTGCTCTATTCTATAACAATAAAGATCTATCACCGTATGCCCAATGCACTACTGGCGCGTAGAGGGTTTCTATGCTAGTGGCGAGGCATGATCAATTCGCATGTGTAAGGGGTTTAGGTACAACAAAGCGTTAGCAGGTAGCGATTACACAAAGGACGTATAGACTGCGAAGGAATGGACTTGATAACTTGGTAAGACTGGCGGTAGATGGACAGAGAGCAAGAGGAAGGGCACGACACATATGCCTGGATGGCATGGCCATATGGATGGGGCGAGGCAAGAACACTGACCTGATCCGTCATTCTGGTAAACGTGTGAGATGGCGAAACATACATTATTAGAGACAAGGCTTAGATCTAACGAGTCCCTAACTATATAATATCGTGAGACCCCTGCCATTTGAAGTTACACCAGCTATTCTAATAAATCCCATCTCTTACGAAAGAAACTAGGGGCTTCTGAGCTGAAATGCTATAGAAAGATTGTATGAATAACATGGACAAAGAAGAGAAGAAGTACTGACATTATGAAGGATTTTTAACACCAAGGAAGATTGGCTAATAAACAGCATCTTGTCCCAGAAGCTGAAACATTTTGGTCATATCAAACGCCATGGCGGATTCGAAAAAAAACTATAGCAGAAGGCATGGTACCAGGAAGGAGGGGCAGGGACCTCCCAACACAAAGATTGGCACATGACATAAGTGACTTCTTGAAGATGAAAGAATACGACGCGGGAGAGCTGGTGAGAGGCCGAGTTTTATTTTCAGTCGGACTGTGATTGGAGCGTAGTTCTTTAAAGGACCCTAACATGATGGTGATGATTCTAATAAAACTTAAAAATATATGCGTCCTTAATTAGGTTACTTAGGGTAAGATTAATCACAAGCCTGATATAATATACAAAATAATTTCATTAACAAAATTAAAATAAATTTCTGAATTATTAAATTTAAAAAAAAAAAGAAATTGCATTTGTTGAAAAAGAGAAATCTTTTATTGGCACGATGGATGATGATGATGATAATTACCTACCATTAAACGAAAGTTTCCCATCGCCATTCTCGTCTGCTGCCATGTAGTAACCTTGAACTGCTTCCTCGGCTTGCTGCGGGGTCAACCCAAGTGCCTTGGAAGCGTTAATGAGTTCCTTTTCTGTGGATACAGGAACAAAATATGCTTTTTTGTGTGTGTGGTTTCCGAGACCCATTGTCTTTTCGACAAGCAAGTCGTAAAAGTCGACTAATTGAGGGCTTTCTTCGAAGGAGTGTGAAAGGCAAGGAACCAGCATTATGCCACAAATAATTCAGATTTGTAAAACGGATGTGTACGCAACATTCAGGTTCTGGACTAAAGTTTAGAGGTGGACGAACAACCAGTACATTCCGCATGAATTTACAGCCGGTAAACACGAGGAAGAAGAAAATGGCCTGGCTGTAAACCACAACATGACGTGCGAACGCCCTTTTTTTTTTTAAGAGGGAAAAGGCAAATGAAGAGAAAGTGGAATCCGCTTACTTTGAGAGCGCGAGGCAACTGGCTGAACCATTTCGTCACGAAGACTCCCAAATGACAATGTAACCAGGAGACAAGTAAACAAAATGGCAACATTGATTATCGGTCGTCTGCGCGGAGCAGAACGTCTAGGATGGTATGACAGACTCGCATTTCCAAAGATCACACAGTGAACAAGACCAGGTTTCCCATTTGCTGGTCCGCGGAACACATTTAAGGATCTGTTGACAGCGGCCAGGGTAGTTCCAGCTTATATATATATATATATATATATATATATATATATATATATATATATATATATATATATATATATATATACACACACATACATATATAAATGTTTGTTAGTCTGTTTATTCAACAGATCGACATTTAACTCAAGCCTGAGTCTGGAGAATCTTAGTGCAGCGCACAAACTCCGTTGCACCGGCGAGGATCCCGAAATACTTTGGTTTATGGTAGATTTTTTACTCCAATTTTGCTCAGGAAGCGCCGTTTGGCTACTCGTATTCGATTTCCAACTGCCAAGGTATTTATTACGTGCGCAACAATACACACGGGCGTCCGATTTTATCCAACCAGAGACCAAAGTAAATTACTAGAAGTTCACATAAAAAAATCCCAGCCTTCACTGGGGTTTGAACCTGTGACCTCCAGCACTCGAGGCGGATGCCCTATCTCGAGACTGGTCAGCCAATGTATATGTTAATACGGGACTTCCGAGATCCCATAATTGGAATGAGTACACTTTGAATTAGGGTGAATAGTATTTTGAACTGAAAACAGGATTTCCCACTTATATTTTGTGCTGAGGGGGCTGCGTGGTCTCGAGGCACGGTGTCCGCCTCGAGTGCTAGAGGTCCCGGGTTCAAGTTCTGATGAAGGCTAGGATTTTTTCACGTGAATTTATAATAATTTCCCCGTGGTCTCTGGGTAGTAAGACCGGACGCCCGTGTGTATTGTCGCGCACGTAAAAATCACTTGGCAGTTGGAAATCGAAAAGAGTAGCCCAACAGCGCTGCTCGATCAAAATTTGGAGCAAAAAATTCTACCCAAAGTATTTCAGGATCCTCGCCAGTGCTACAGAGCCTGTGCACTGTGCTGAGCTTTTTCTGACTCAGACTTGAGTTATAAAAAGAACGGAGCACTTATGGTTTACTACCGTGTGCCATGATGTTGATCCTTTGTTTAAACCTCAAACCTCAAACCTGGGAACCTCTGAACTGGACAAACTACAGTGAACCCATATGCGAAAATTCGACCTGTCACAACTAACTATTCAGAAAAAAGTCATTTAAAGACTTGCATTAGCAATGCAGAGATTAAACAGCACGAAAAACCTATGGCAAAAAATGCTGGGGTTGGTTTTGCAACGTCCCGTAAAGGATAGCCAACTAACTTCAGAAGCCATAATGTCTTTTATTTTCCCTAGCTACTTTGTTGTTCTTGCCGTGATGCTCTCTCTACGTGTAGCTGTATGGCGGCGTTTCATCTTGTCTCTCCAGAAGCTGAGCTGGCTTAGACAGGAAATTAGCGCGCGTTCAATTAATCAAGTGACGTCTACACAAAGAAGCTTGGCTGCACTGGACTATCATCATCAGTCACGTGCTATCTCCACGATAGAGGGGAGCTGCAAAATGCATCTCCAACACGCTCTGTTGTCACTTGCCATGGTTGTACACTTTAATGACTGCTGTTCGTCATCTCTGACGTTGTCCTCCCACTTGTTTTTGGCTCTCTTGTCCTCGACCTTTCCCTGTGTAGGGCTTTTAAGAGCGTATTATCCTTGTAATATAGCTAAAAAAAAAATCAACTTGTTTGTTTTATTTATTTCAGTAATACTTTTGTTTTTCATTCGCAGTCTTCCCATAACGTCTTATTTGACCGTTTTCTGTAAAATACGACCTATTTTCTGTATGTCTACATTTCCAGAGACTCAGTTCCATTTTCTAGTTGCCTCTTGATTGTCCAAGTTTCTGTAACCAGTTGTCTACATAACATTAATTTCAAGTTCCATTTTCTAGTTGCCTCTTGATTGTCCAAGTTTCTGCACTATACAGCAGGGTTAAGTCTACATAACATTTGACATTTCAAGAGACCCAGTTCCATTTTCTAGTTGCCTCTTGATTGTCCAAGTTTCTGTACCATACAGCAGGGTCAAGTCTAGATAACATTTGAAGATTCTCAATTTTAATAATGCAACGCTATAGTGGGTATCCAACAGCGATTCTATATTGGTTACCACTGCTGTTTGATGAGTTCTTGACGTTACCCTATCACTGTCTACCTCTTGCTAAATTGCCTTCAACTGTCTCTCCATATTGGCTTTTCTAAGAGTTTTTCAATGTGGCTTAAATATGGCAGCTGTTTTAGGCGCGCCGCTACAAAAACAAACGCGGAGGCGGGCGAGGGGATCTTAACCCTTTTATAATTTTAACAATTATTATATTCTTTCTGTTAATCTTATAATTTGCAAAATGTAAAACATGTATACAATATATTTGAAATAATATGAAACGTATAAATAAATATACACAAACAGAACGCCTATACATGTTAGTGGGGGGGGGGGGGATACTAAGCTTACTTGTAAATTTTCTAGGCGTGGGGGTGGGGGAGGGGAATCACTAAGCTTACTTGTAAATTTTCTAGGCGTGGGGGGAGGGGGGGGGGGAACAACCACTAAGCTTACTTGTAAACTTTCTAGGCGTAGTGGGGGGGGGGGGGGGGGAACCACTAAGCTTACTTGAAAACTTTTCTAGGCGTAGGGGGGGGGGCACTAAGCTTACTTGTAAACTTTCTAGGCGTGGGGGGGGGGGGGGGGGGGGGGGGGCGTAGTAGGGGGGGGGGGGAATCACTAAGCTTACTTGTAAATTTTCTAGGCGGGGGGGGGGGGGGGGGGAATCACTAAGTTATCTTGTAAAACTTTCTAGGCGTGGGGGGGGGGGGGGGGTAATCACTGAGCTTACTTAAATTTTATAGGGCGTGTGTTTGGGGGCGAAAAAGGGGGGGGGGGGGGGGGCGGGGGAAGAGAAAACACCATGTTTACTTACAAATTTTCTAGGCGTGGGTGTGGGGAAGGGGGTGTGAGTGTGTGGAACGCTCAGCACCTTTAAGGATAATGAGTGGGTGGGGAGGAGGGTTGGGTTGGCTCTGCCTTTACATGATTAGGGTGGGCCCCTCAAGATGGCTCAGCTCCCAGCTTAAGGCGCCTATGGTTTGGGAATCGGAAAAAGTTCAGCGCTGTGGCCATATGATGTTAGCACCGCCTGTTTAGAGACCGAACAGCGCTGGAAAGTGGGTTTCAGAATAACACCGGCTGCTTAGCTGACCCCTCTTGTGGGTTATGGGACCCCGTTTTAAAGGGGTGCGGGGTGGTGGATAAAGAGACCCACTGCCCTTTTAGGCCAGCATGTGGGGGGAAAGGGCAACTAATAAAGGCTCTTTTATGGGACCTTTTAAAGGGGTGCGGGTCGTAGCGCACTGCCCTTTAGCTGGCTCGAGAGGCGAAAAATAAACAGTCTAGCACACGAGAGGCGAGCAAGTGTCAGTCGGACAAAACTAGATACTGTAAAACGAACGTGCACGCAAAACTCGTGTTGTGGAACACGCCTAAAATCCAGAAGCAAACACCCAGAATGTTTCGCCGGAATTTACAGCCGGTGAATGCAAATTATAATAATAATAATAATAATAATAATAATAATAATAATAATAATAATAATAATATGAAAACGGAGGAGGAGAATAGTAGCTGTGATGAAAATAATAATATTAATAATAATAATAACAAACAACAAAAAACAATCTTTACGTTTAGTAAAAAAAAAAAAAATACACGCGGAATTTAGGCACCAAAAACCATCACTAAACGTTGCAAAGAAATAAGACTAATATAAAAAAATAACGCATCGGAAATCAAAAGTGAACAAGCAAACGAAGCAACGAAAGTAGAGGAAACGGGAAGTAGAAGCTTTACGCCCTTTCATTTTATGTCCTGGTTTCAGACACGTAAAGCCACCAAAGACTTACAGTTAGCAACACTATTCTCCCGCCATAATCGTTGTCATCAGCGATCGTCTGCCTCTGCCATCTTGCCAGTAATTCCTTTTGTCTAGCCTCGTTAAAGAAAATTCCCTGTTTATTGCCTTCATTTGGAGCGAGAAAACCTCAGTATGGCGGATTTTTATCGCAGCCAGTAGGATACAGGAGGTTGTAGTCAGATTTACCGGTTCCCGAATTGGATAACTTCACAACCACTTTGAGACAAAAACTATCGACCGGCGTTATTCCCAGGAAAGATTCCCACAAATGCGTTCCGGACTTAATCTGGATAACCATGTATATCTTCAAGGGACAACACGATAAATGAAGGACACAGTTGTTCTATATGTGCCACATTTTCTCAAGGTGAACAACTGACTACGTCCTCGTTCCTCGTCACATGAAGTGGCTAGTAATTTGGTCCAACATTATGCCAAGCCCCCTAAGATGATTTCGCAGAGTAAGCCTTAGCATCAGTGAAACACTGCTTCAGACCGTTGTACGTGCTCTCTATTCTACATCATTATGTAGCAGGTCCTTTACAGAACGTAGCTCTCATCACGGTTTTCTTCTTCTTCTTCTTCTTCTTCTTCTTCTTCTTCTTCTTCTTCTTCTTCTTCTTCTTCTTCTTCTTCTTCTTCTTCTTCTTCTTCTTCTTTTGGAGCTTCTTCTTATGGCTTCTTCTTACGCTTCTATGATACAGTCTTCTTCTTCTTCTTCTTCTTCTTCTAACTTCTCTCTTTGAGTCTTCTGCTTCTCCGGCTTCTTCTTCGTCTCTTCTTCTTGATCTTTCTTCATCTTCTTCTTCCCTCGTCTTCTTCTTCACACAGTTCTTCTTCTTATTCTTCTTCAAGTGAACTTCTTCTTCGTTCTTCGTCTTAGTTCTTCTTCTTCTTCTTCTTCTGCCAAGCTCTTCTTCTTCTTCTTCTTCATCATCTTCTTCTTCTTCTTCTTCTTCTATCTTTTCTTCATGTCTTCTTTCTTCTTCCTTCTTCTCTCCGGTTTCTTCTTCTTCTTCTTCTTTCTTCTTTCTTCTTCTTCTTTCTTCTCTTCTTCTTCTTCGTATTCTTCTTTATCTTCTTCTTCTTCCTCTTCTTCTTCTTCTTCTTTCTTCTTCTTCTTCTCTTCCTTCTTCTTCTTCTTCTTCTTCTTCTTCTTTCTTTCTTCTTCTTCTTCTTCTTTTTCTTCTTCTTCTTCTTCTTCTTCCTTTTCTTCTTCTTCTTTCTTCTTCTTCTTCTTCTTCTTTTTTCTTCTTCTTTCTTACTTCTTCTTTCTTCTTCTTCTTCTTCTTCTTCTTTTCTTCTTCTTCTTCTTCTTCTTCTTCTTCTTCTTCTTCGGTCTTTTCTCTTCTTCTTCTTCTTCTTCTTCTTCTTCTTCTTCTTTCTTCTTCTTCTTCTTCTTCTTCTTTCTTCTTCTTCTTCTTCTTCTCTTCTCTCTTCTTCTTCTTCTTCTCTTCTTCTTCGTCTTCTTCTTCAGCGTTCAGAGCCTTTGAGGTTCATTGCTGCAGATATTACCCGCCTCCATTCATCACTCTGGTTGGCCTTCTCTTTCCAGTTGGTGACACACACGTGTTTGCAGGTCTGATGGGATATTATCTCTCCATTTTCTTCTTGGTTTGCATCATGGTCTACGACCATAATCTCCCTCGTGTATACAGTTTTTACTTCTCTGTCATCTGACATTCTTAAAATATGCCCTAACCATTTCAGTCTATTAGCTCTCATGATACCAGTGATCAGTGGTGCTTTAAACAGATTATGAATTTCGTTGTTGCTTCTCACTCTCCATTCACCGCTGTTTGCATCTTTGATGGGTCGAAAGATTTGTCGTAAGACTGTTTTTGAAAACCTGTAACAAGGTCTTATCTCTTTTAGCTATAGCTGCAAGTTTCAGAGCCATTTAACACGACTGGTCTTATCAAGGTTTTACAACGTTTCCTCACGGCCTGCTTGAAAGAAATTTGGTATCTTTTTTTTACCCGTAACCATTAATAGAGAATGCAAATGTGTGCGTGTGCGCGCGTGTGTGTATGTGGGTGTATGCGCGCGCGCTCGGGTAAGTGTGTGTATGTAGAACTATTCGAGATGGAAGATTAGTGAAAGATTGTTTCGAAGCGGTGGAGTTGTGGGTTTATAGACGAATGACGAGAATACCCGAGGCAGATAAAACGAGTTTTGAAGATTTCTTTAATGAAACTGATTCACGAAGATAACTGATTGCCCACTCCAGAAGTAGACAATCTATATTCCTCGGTCATTTCATGAGAAGGAGAAGACTGAAGTACATCGTCACAGTGGAAAAGTTGGAGGGGAAGAGAGGCAGAGGAAGACCTGGAGTGGACACGCGGACAGTCTGACATCGTGGCATGGAAGGTCATCAATGTCAGAACTGACTGAAAGTACACGAGACAGAAGGTTATGGATAGATATGAGTGCCAATGCCATACGGTACTGACTATAAGAAGAAACATTATTTGTTCAGGATCGGCTTGCCGAGCGGTTAAGAACGCTGGGCTCTCATGCGAGATCAGTAGGGTTATGGGTTGTGTGTGTGTGTGGTTTGGGGGGGGGGGGGCGTTTAAAAAAAAAAGACAAATTGTTCCTAACCTGCGCACTCTGTGGCAACCGCGCTTGCCTATTGGCACCAAAAGCACCATGCTTAAAGACTCCCTGCCCTCGCCGCAAAAGTGGCAAACACATGCAGTAATGGATGGCTTTTTAACCACTGTTTTATTCGCCAGACTCTTTAGATGGACTGAAGGTTCCCGTGTGGGTTCAGGGGCCCCTTTATGGGGTATAAAACATAGACCCCCGTGATTGCCCTCGACTGTCCAACAAGCATGTCATGAAAGGCGACTGTTACTCTGTAAAAAATAACACAGCCTGCCAACGGTCCAATAAGGGCGAACACAGAAAAAGAATAATAAGAAGGAGACGAAGAAGAAGATGGAGAAGAAGAAGAAGAAAAGAAGAAGAAGAAGAAGAAGAAGAAGAAGAAGAGAAAAAGAGAAGAAAGAAGAAGAAGAAGAAGAAGAAGAAGAAAGAAGAAAGAAGAAGAAGAAGAAGAAGAAAAGAAGAAGAAAAGAAAAAGAAAAAAAGAAAAGAAAAGAAAGAAAAAAGAAGAATGAAGAAGAGAAGAAGGAGGAGAAGGAAGAAGAAGAAGAAGAAGAAGAAGAAGAACAAGAAAGAAAGAAGAAGACGAAGAAACGAAAAGAAGAAGAAGAAGAAAAAAAAGAAGAAAAAGAAGAAGAAAAAACGAAGAAGAAGAAAAAAGAAAAAAAGAGAAGAAGAATGAAGAGGAGAGAGGAAAAGAAGAAGAAGAAGAAGAAGAAGAAAGAAGAAGAAGAAGAAAAGACGAAAAAGAGAAAAAAGATAGAAGAAAAAGAAGAATCAAAAGAAGAAGAAGAAAAGATGAGGAAGAGAAGAAGAGGAAGAAGAAGAAGAAGAAGAAGAAGAAGAAAGAGAGAAGAAGAAGAAGAAGACGAAAAAGAAAAGAAGAAGAAGAAGAAGAAGAAGAAGAAGAAGAAGAAGAAGAAGAAGAAGAAGAAGAAGAAGAAGAAGAAGAAGAAGAAGAAGAAGAAGAAGAAGAAAAAGAAATAACGTTCGATGTGAAAAAGGATTTATTAAAATTTGTAAGAAATCAAAAAGTGCTCACCGGTAACAATGTTGTCGTCGTTGGTGTCATGAAGGTGGTACCATTCTGCTGCAGCGGCCATTGTATAGTCATTACCGGCCATCTCGCGAACGTACTCTGGGACAAAGTCTATAGCTCCATTTCCTGTCAGAAAATACAAGATGACGTTAAAATAGACTATCAACACCGCCTTTGACACAAAGCGGAATACCTTTTGTCTACCAAGGTAAATCTAACCATAATATTTTTTTTGGGGTGGGAGAGCAGGGAGAGGGAGGGCAATTTAGTGCTACCAGTCTCAAAATGGACCCTTTCTGCCGCTGATAAACGCAGAATCGTAACAACAGAGATAGGAAATCTTAGAAGAGTTATCACAGTAAAAAAAAAAAAAAGGATACATTCTAAAATAAAATAAGTAAGAAGAAAACTAGGACTGAAAACGACCACGACAGCTCCAAGAACAGTTACAAAGAAGTGTGGATAAACTTATGCAACGCATTAGAAAGAGCATACTTACGATCCTTACATCTCCCCCAGCACTCCGATGAGATAAGAAAGAGGGAAAAAAAAAGTTAGTTGCGTATCCTTTACAGAACGTTGCAGAACCAGCCCCAGCATTTTTTTGGGGACTTTTGTTGTTTTTCTAGGCAAATTTTACATTCAATAGTTTGCCATTGCCTACTGAACGGTCAAGTGTTGGTATCTCTATCGAAACCAAAGCAAGACAAATCGTGGCAGCTGTAGTCGAAACTGGCACCCCGGCATTACGAAGCGCGTTCGCAACGCCCAAGCCACAGACGCCGACTAAGAAAGAGTATATTAAATAAACTATTAAGACTCTGACAGTCCGAATGTACTAGGGTGATACCAGACTAGGGCTCCTAAACATACCAAGTCTGAAATGCTTACCAGGAAATATTATAGGAAGCAAAAGCGTTTGGCGTCATGTGGACTACATCACCCACTGAGTGTTGATTGGTATACAGACATCTGAGTCTAGCACCAAATTGCTATGTCAGATTCGCCATTGGCGCAAAATACAAAATAAAATAAAAAAGGAATGGTCCTTTACATATCTCTAATATTCCGATAGACGGAACTTATCAATCACGAAGTCGCCCGCACGACGAGAGTTCCTTCCCTTTCCATTCATCCCGCGGCAGGTCGCACAGTCTGTCCTATGTTGTGGTTGGGGGGGAGGGGGGGGGGGGTTTATGAGATGGCTTCGTTCAGCATTCGCTCGCCGTATACAATGTTTGTGGGAGGTTATTTTGTCGTGAGAAGACGCTTTGTTTGTGAGCATCTAGACTGGGATGTTTTTGTATTTCTATGTTCCTTGGTGGTGGCTTTCCCCCCAGAAAAGAAACAACTGACAAAGAACGTAGGAATACAAAAACATCCCAGTTTCGATAAGCCTGAGGATATAGGGCCACATGCTAATACAGCAGCCAGTGACTATGTGGGTTAGGATTTTGTTTTTACCTTTTTAGCAAACCATTGAACATGAAATCGCCTAGAAAAACCCTATGCAACCAACTCTCTTCTTCTTTGCGTTCACCTGCTGTAAACTCTAGCCAAAATATCTAGTTGACCCCCCCCCTCCCTCCCTCGCTTCCTAAAAGTTCGCATTCTTTGATAATAATACTCGTAATAATAACAATAAGAATAATAATAATAATTACTAATCATCAAGGAACTAATATATTTTAAGCACGGATTTCTCGTTTTTTAGAAAACTGGACAATTGGAGGATTTAAATACCGACTTGACGGCCAGGAAACACCTACCAAACGGGACTGTCCCGATAAAAACAGGACGTATGGTTCGTATGGGCCACCCCTCTCCCCCAACCACAACCGCCCCCCTTCCCTCCCCCCAAAAAACTCGATCCCGGAACTTAAACGCCGGAACAACTAAAAGAATGATGGGATTGCTGTGCGACGTTACTGTAAAGCTGATTTACCAGTTTATGGACAGACCAGAGCAAGTTATTATTCTACAGGACACAGTCGACTTCATAGCCACATGTACACACAATTTAAAATCGGCGAAATCAGCCATGTACACATGTGGATTGGCACCTGAGACAACAGATGATGTCCTCCGAGACTGTCCCAAATACGAAACATCAGGGCCAACTTTTTGGCCAAGAGAAACATCAGTGCAAGTCAAACTTTACCGGTCGCTGAGTGAATTAAAAAAGACAGTGAAGTTCATTCTAAAGACAACATTGTAGGTATAGATAATTTGTTTCAAGCGAATGAAGGAAGAAGAAGAAGAACTGTAAAGAATATGCCACCAACTTAAACACTTAATGGTATGGGGCGTCGCAGGTCGACCCAGCCTAAAATGGGTCCCAGGATGGCTGTCCTGGGGAAGTAAAGACGGCCGGTCTAATGCTGACCACATTACCCATCCAGTGCCGATTGGTCTGTAAAAATATGGGACGCTCTTCCCATATACCCGATGCGCCTAAGGCGTGAAAAGGGATCTTTACTTTTTTTTTAAAATACTTTTTTTGGAACATTTATGGTTGCTTCCGCAAGAAAGAAACAGGGATCACGGTAAAGTTGGCCAGAGACGCTGACAGCATGTGAAGTCAGTGCTTGAGAAATGGTGAGCAGTTCCATAATTTGTTCATTAATTAAAGGTGGTCCCTGTGCAGCAATCAGTGGACAACGGGGAACGATTGAAGAGGGGGAGACATAGAAGTGGATCAATGGATGTCAGGACAGATAATGGGGACTGGCAGGTAGAGAGAGAATCGAGATTGGGGTGGGGGGTATGGAGGAGAACAGTTGGTTGTGTATGTTGTTATGATAACACGATCGATATTACACACAGCTCATTGCTCCCTCCCCCCACACACACACACATATATATGTGCGCGCGTACACATGCATGCATGCATATCAAAGAAAGATCCCAATTTGGTTTTGGGGAAGGATAGAACCACTGCCCTCTAACACGAATGTCGTAAAAGGCGACAAATTGGGGTTGCATCTGCCTGCAAGTCGAGGAATCAATAGTATGTATACAAAACCAAGCAAGATCTGTAAAACGGATGTGCATGCATAACTCAAGTTCTGGAAAGAGACCAAAGTCAGGAAGAAGACGAGATGCCAGAACTTTCCGTCTGAGTTTACAGCCGGGGAGCGTCAAGAAGACCAGAAAGATATCAGATATCGATAGACAGGCAGGCAGGCAGGCAGGCATGCAGGCAGGCAGACAGATAGACAGATAGACAGACAGACAGACAGACAGATAGATAGATAGATAGATAGATAGATAGATAGATAGATAGATAGATAGATAGATAGATAGATAGATAGATAGATAGATAGATAGATAGATAGATAGATAGATAGATAGATAGATAGATAGATAGATAGATAGATAGATAGATAGATAGATAGATAGATAGATAGATTAGATAGATTAGATAGATTAGATAGATTAGATAGATAGATAGATAGATAGATAGATAGATAGATAGATAGATAGATAGATAGATAGATAGATAGATAGATAGATAGATAGATAGATAGATAGATAGATAGATAGATAGATAGATAGATAGATAGATAGATAGATAGATAGATAGATAGATAGATAGATAGATAGATAGATAGATAGATAGATAGATTAGATAGATAGATTAGATAGATTAGATAGATAGATAGATTAGATAGATTAGATAGGATAGATAGATAGATAGATAGACAGACAGACAGACAGACAGACAGACAGACAGACAGACAGACAGACAGACAGACAGACAGACAGACAGACAGACACAGACAGACAGACAGACACAGACAGACAGACAGACAGACAGACAGACAGACAGACAGACAGACAGACAGACAGACAGACAGACAGACAGACAGACAGACAGGACAGACAGACAGACAGACAGACAGACAGACAGACAGACAGACAGACAGACAGACAGACAGATAGATAGATAGATAGATAGATAGATAGATAGATAGATAGATAGATAGATAGATAGATAGATAGATAGATAGATAGATAGATAGATAGATAGATAGATAGATAGATAGATAGATAGATAGATAGATAGATAGATAGATAGATAGATAGATAGATAGATAGATAGATAGATAGATAGATAGATAGATAGATAGATAGATAGATAGATAGATAGATAGATAGATAGATAAGAGTACTCGCTATTTACTCAAATATTCTTCTTAAATTGGTCAATGTGGTTAGTGTAATGGCTCAAGAACAACAAATCAACATGTTACCAGTAGAGAGACAGATGCACTCTTTTGGTTTGGTGTGAACAACAGATCAACATCCTGGTACAAGGGTAGTGATCCATAATTACTCCGCTCTACTTTAACCCAAGCCCGAGTCCGAAAATTCTCTGCGCTGTTCACGAATCCCCCCCCCCCCCTCCCCCCTAGGAATCTGAACATATTTTTAGTCCAAATTTTACCCGGGCAGCGCCCTTAGGCTACTCGTTTCGATTTCCAACTGCCAAGGGATTCTTTTTACATGTGCAACAATACACACGGGCGTTCGATCTTACTACCCAGAGACCAGGGACAATTACTAGAAGTCCATGTGAAAAATAATCCCAGCCTTCATCAGGGTCTGAACCAGGGACCTCCAGCACTCGAGTCGGACGCCATGCCTCGCGACCACTCAGCCCCGCTGATGCATTCTAACACAAAAGCCCGAATTTAGAGTGGCTATAGTTACACAAGGGCCAGATATGAACAGGAACTGTCTTTTAAATAGCATATCCTCTACAAGGCGCTGCACAACAAAGCTCAAGATGGTTTTGATGTTTGATTTTACTAGCCAGTTTTGCTTATTGAACTCCCCCTGTGGGTTCCTGGGTCCCATTTGGGGGGGGGGGGGGGGGGGGAGGGGGGGGGGGGGGGGGGGGGGGGGGAGCTAAAATGTACAAATATATTCCAAACATAGAGCTTACATGTACACATATGTTCCAAACATGTCGGTAACATGCACAAATATGTTCCAAACATAGAGCTAACAGTACAAATATGTTCTAAACATAGAGCTAACATGTACAAATATGTTCCAAACATAGAGCTAACATGTACAGATATGTTCCAACCATAGAGCAAACATGTACAAATATGTTC